ACATGCCCTAAAATAAAAACACCCCCCCATAAAAAAAAAATAAAAAGAGCAATCATTCTTGGTTCACAGGCTATACAAAAACAGGAGGTGGGTCAGATTTGGTGGGGCTGTAGTTTGCTGTCCCCTGGCCTAGGAGATGACACCCCGACTTCTTTGCATACACTCCTCCAGGGGGATCTGGCTCCAGCCTTACCTTTTAGGCCCTCCTTTGTTGTCTCCGTGGCCTGCCCACTCTCAGTCGGTGCACCAGCAATATGGAACCCCTTGCAGTTCCTCACACCTGCCCTGCCATTTCAAGCCTTGAGAAGGACCCGTCATATAATTTGCTGAGCCCAATTCAAAATAAAAATGTAGGCGTCTTTGTTCAAGAATTACTAATAATTTCGAGATGGCAGCAGCAGGGTAAACCAAGTGCAGAGCTCTGACTGAAGCGGGGCCTGCCTCTCTGGACAGAGCATACACACGTTAGGCCGGCTTTGACCCTGGGCGTTTGTTCCTTTTTGCTTCCAACTGTTTGCTTCCTGTCACTCCTTCAGAATGCTTGTCAGGCTTTTCTCCTGACCACCTCCCAAACCCGCCAGGCTTCCTCACTCTAAACCCGCTCGTTACACACTGCGCTGCACTTACCTCATTCCACATCTGCCTCTTTGTCTTCTCTGCTGGGCTGAGCAACCCCAGAAGGAACGTGGTTTCTCTGGAGCAGGGCCTGGTCTATAGCAGCTATCAGAGAAGTCTCTGAAATGGAACTGTTCCTGCAGGGCAGTGCTGCAGGTGCCTGACACCTTTCGCAGTCTGCCCTCAGTGCATTACAAAACTAGTACCGTGTGCTGCGAATATTTGCCAGGGAGACACGGAGCATCGTTACCCAAGCTCGGTTAACAGTAGACATCCCTCAGGAGGAGGAGTGAGCCCAGGGCAGCACTTCGTATACCACTAACAGACAAGCTCACTCCAGTAGGGCATGAAGTAGAGGGCCATAACCTCCATCTGCAGGCCTGGTTGTGTTTTTCCTTCTAGAAACTCCACGGAGGCTGGGACTCCTTGTTCCCAACAAGGTCACCTGTACATGGGACAGCACCAGATGCATCGGAGTGGGTACTTGATAAATACGGGATGACTGGATGAAAGAAACCAAGGCTAAAATAGAGCGACAGGCTGCAACTTCTTCGTAATTTCAGTGTGTGTGTCCCTGTGTAGCAGTTATTGAGATGGGGCGGTGCTGTGAGACAGCCCTGCACCTGAAGTCAGAAGTCAGGTGCCAATAATACTGGGTCGCTGGAAAAGTTGTGACATTATCCTTAGTTTTTCCATGCAAAAATGCATCATGACTTTTCCAACAACCCAGTACTTCGAGGTCGGGATATCACTTTTCTAGGCCATTATTTAATTCTTACCACATCCTCAAGAGGTGAGGACCACTGAAGAAGGTGAGAGGAAAGCTGAACGGCCTGCCCACGTCGCAGGGCTGGTGCTCGGGAGCCTGCATTTAAACCCAAGTCTGGTGGAACTGAAAGCCTGTACTTTCCCACCCTTACAGTCCTGCCTCACCTGTGACCACAGACGGATCACTCAGCCTTTGGGGTGCCCACTTTTCTCATCCGAAAAATGAAGGTTAGACGAACCAGTCCCTAAGGTTCCTTTCAGCTTTAAAATTCAGCGTGTTGAAAGCAGCAAGCTTGGTCAGAAGAGAAGAGGTGGTTTTGTTATTGTTAGTTTGTATTGGTTTGTTGGTTTCTAAATTAGTGCAGAAAAGGAAACCTTGAGTCATTTTGGAAAAACTTGCAGAACGGTATTTTTCTATCCGAAGCTCATTCTCCCACTCCCACTGTGCTATAGGAGATTTACTCTCTTCTTCTTCGACAGAGTGTTTCATCCCAGACTGTGGTCTACTAGCAGCATAGATGATAAGCGATTTTTAATGTCAATTTGCTGATAAAATGTTATATGCTAAGTTTAAGAATCTGCGTTTGTGAACAGTGTATGTTTCAGCTGAGAGACAGGATGCTTTCTTGCAGCTCTATCTTATTTCTCTGTAGAAAGCCTACATCTCTCCCCTTACCATTGCAGGGTAGTGGTCTGCTAAGTCTCCGCAGTCTGCCCCCAGTCCTCCAATCACCTCTCCTCCTCTTCCCCATCTCACACTCCACTCCTTGAGCACCTCAGGAATAATTCTGCCTGAGGGTCTCCATACCAGCTAGTCTCTCTGCTTAGAAAACTGTCCTTTGTCATCTCGTGGCTGATGCCTCACCTCCTTTACAGTTTGCTCTTCCTATCCTATCAGGCCCACCGTGTTTAAATTGGCTACCTATTGGAACCAGCAGAAAACTGTCCTTTGTCATCTCATGGCTGATGCCTCACTTCCTT